CAGACGTGTGCTCTTCCGATCTCCCCAAAACCCCAAAACCCCAAAACCCCATCATTCTTAATTTTGAGAGAATTTTAAAAATGTATAATTGTGATTTTATGTGAATTAAGAGTATATAAAATTTGATTCGAATATATATTAGGTAGGTTATATTCTCACCAGTGTACTTCAAGGTATTATCTCGTTAGTCATGAGTAATGTCTAAAACTATCTCATATTTATTTATCATTCAATTTATATACTCAGTGTGACACTTATTATTATTTGCTGATTTATTTTCTACTACATTTCTCAATCTAAAATATTTTTTGGTTATTGCATAGAAAGTGATTGCTTTGTTCTTAGAATTTTTCCATGATGATGCGGCGATCCCAATTCCATTTATATATCTAGTAGAATGAAAGACTAATTTCCTTAGACATCTAACGTATTTTCTATCTAGTCCAACGTTAATTGCATACAAACTAAGATTCAAGATACTAAATCTATTCCTTTGATTTGAGCATTTTAGAGCAAGGTTTTTAATATTTTAGATGATTTTTGCACTTTCTCTTTTTCCCAATTGTTTTAGTTTTAATAATACTTTTTTCCTCAATTTATGAAATTAGGGGAAGCTCTTGAGAATCGTGCTTAGTCAAATTACTATACACTGCGATTTCAAACAAAGGTTCCTTCTATTCAGTTTATTTTGTGAAATCATTGTCACTAGATGAAGAGCAATCCAAGAGAAAGCTTGTTACACTAAATTTCCTACCGTTCGAGCAGTTAGAATCTTCCGGTGTACTATTGTTATTTCTAAATACATCAATGAGTTTTTGCTTGAACTAGATTGGTGAAGTAGAACCATCAAGCAGTAAATTTTGATTGCATTAGGCATCAATGCTCTCAATAACAAAGCATTTATTGAAAAACTTGTCGTAATCTTCAAATTCCTCCAAAAATTATAACTATTTTTGTTCCCAGTAGGCTTCTCTTTATTCGATCTCCTTGGTCTACAATAAAGATTAGATTGACATATTAATTCTAATATTATAATTTTGTTTGATTTTAACCTACAATACCGTAAGGAATGTTTTAGAATTAGATGACATCTCGGCACTGCATGAGAGTATACTTTTTCGATGATTTGAAAGAATTAATTATATTCTTATTAAACTAACTAACAGTTTAAGATCCGACATTATAATTTTTAGGACCTCAGCTGATTTCGTTGTTTTGATTTCAGTGATAATTTTAACATGGTTTTCAAGATCTGAATAGGGAAGTAATCACTTCAAACATAATCATAAAAGATAACTTTAAGCATCTTTCAATTATCACTTTAATATTCAAATATTCGGGTATAGATGTTTGAATTGTGGATTATATATCTATTTATAATAATTATTATAATTCTTTTTTCAGATCAGTAAGAACCAAATCTTCGTTCTTGGGGTTTTGGGGTTTTGGGGTTTTGGGG